AGTTATGATCCGGAAGTGACTGAAGCGTAATTATGAAAAATCAATAATTTCAACAATTACGAAATAAAAGTAAATATTATATATGGAAATGATAAAATAAGTATAAGAGATATAATAAATAAACATAGAAAAAGAAGCGCCGTAAAAAGGCGAGTAAATTGATACCGAGAAAGTACCATAAACATAGAATTTTGAAAAGTTAAGAGCCAAAAATAGGTTTTCAATAGAGAACTTAAAAATAGCTTATAATTAAGAATTGAACAGACAGATACGCCACACATGAAAAGTCAAAATTTGAGGCTTTTAAATCTTTTAATATTATTTCTAAATAAAGATCCTTACAGCTTTATTCACTGCAAACCTATTATGAAATAACAATTAGTAGAATACCGAAGGCATTGTCGAAGGGATGCTGAAGACTGGATACATACGTGAGGTAGGTATTGATTTAATGTGGATACTTTCAAGTAATTATGTATCCCACCAAAAAAATGATTATGTGTAGTTTTGCCAAGACCAGTACCCCTAGCACGAACCAATATCGAATTCGTATCGTTTGCGAGTGCGAAATGTCACTGTCTTTTGTATAGAAACTTGAACAACAGTAGCACAAAGTACGTAACGAGAACTAAAAATCAGTACACATATTTTGATAATGACATTTCGGACTCGCAAACGTTACGAATTCGATTTTAGTTCGTGCTAAGGGTACATACAGTTTGTATTTACGTGGATACTTTTGTCGCAGAGTAACCGTAAAATGTTTCGTACAGGGAAAAGATTAAAATTGTGTGTATTGTAATAGGCTATGATGTTTTAAAGTTATAGGTACCTCATACACGCTTCTAATTTGGAAATACGAAAGTCAGGTAATTGTCCGACTTGCACTCAGTCGGGCACGCTCCCTCGCCGCGACTACACTTTGCTACAACATGTAAATATTTTACGTTTTTCCAGACAAGAAGCCCTATGTGTATTTTAAGGTCGTACACAAAGTATATGGGAACTATGAGGGACAAGAAAAGTTTCAAAGAAATTAATGTAAAAATATTAAGTGATTACTTTATACATAGAGGCTAAAGAGTGAGATGTGTTAATAGGTTGTATAGGCAGTTTGAAATTTGTCTTTGATTTTAATTTGTTTTGTCTTTTTTCTATGACTTTGTCACTCTGTCGAAATAAACTGAATTGAAAGTTTTCTGAATCTAAAGAATATATTATTATTTATTATTTCAGGTAATGGACTATTAATTAGATTTTGTGTAAACTTTTTCAAAGTCAGTATTAATTTCGCATAAATATATATTATTATGAAAATCTCTTCAATATGAATGATAGCGATGTACGTATACCGCCGGCAGCTCCTGCAACTCCCGTCGTCTTCAGGTGTGTTCAATCCAATTTATATGCATAGTTTTGGCGCACATGTAGATAAATTAGATGGGAAAAATAATTACGGTATGTGGAAGTTCCAAATGAAACTGTTGGTAATAGAGCATCGATTGTGGAACATCGTAAATGATCCACCAACAGTTTTAGATCCAATACTTGACCAAAGCGCCTACGCTAAAATATGTTTAGCGGTTAAGCCGATTTGTTATCCACACGTCAAACATTGCAAACCTGCAACTGAAGCGTGGAACAATTTATATAAGGCTTACGGACATTCAGGGATAAGTCGTAGATTGCAGTTAAAACGCAAACTCACACAAATGAAATTGGTCAATTATATGGATAATTATATTGGAAATATTCTGTCCGTAACACATGAGTTAGCTGATGTTGGCTGTCCTATTGATGACGAAGAGATTGATGACGAAGAGATTGCTGAATGAATGTTGCTAGGTCTTCCTGAAGATTATGATCCCTTAATTATGGCCATTCAGAGCACCCAATCCAAACTTACGGTTGATTTCGTCAAAGAAAAGCTTTTGAGAGGAGAATTCAAAAAATCTGATTTTTCTGTAACAAATATTGATTCCGAAAAAGCTTTAGCGTCTACTTCTAAGGGCAAATTTGTTCCGATTTGTCATCACTGCAATAAACAGGGGCACATTAGGCCGAAATGCCCGAAGCTTAGAAATGATAAGAAGAAGACTAAGAAGGATCAGTGTAGTGTTGTTTTAGAAAATAATGGTATTCTTCATACTGCTTTATCTAATTATATTGACGACGATTCAAGTTGGGTTATCGATTCAGGTTGCACAAACCATATGTCAAACCGCGAAAATTGGTTTACTATATTTAATGACAATTCATCTGTAGATATAACCGTAGCTAATAAAAGAAAAATATATAGCAAAGGTAAAGGTAATATTAGTGTCAATATAAATGGTAGTAATATTAATAGTATTACAGATGTAATGTATGTGCCAGATTTAGTCACTAACTTACTTTCTGTTCATCAAATTACTAAGAAAGGCTATACTTTAGTGTTTGATGATACTTGCTGTCGTGCTTTTACTAATTGTAAAGTTACTGGTTCTTGTGGTTTTATTGCAAAGAATGTCAATGGCATTTATAGGTTACAATCTAGTAGCACAGTTCAATCTTCGAGTAATAATGAAAATATGGCTCTTATAACTAAAACAGATTTTCTATTTTGTGGCATCAACGTCTCGGTCACCTTAATGTTAGGGATATGTCTTTACTAAAAAATGGTTTAGTAACAGGCGTAAACTTTAAAGCTTGTGAGTTGGCTTGTGTTCCTTGTATAAAAGGAAAGCATAAAATGAAGTCTTTTCCTAAGATGTCCAAGACTCGTACCACATGTAAGCTTGAACTGATTCATTCGGATTTATGTGGTCCGTTACCAGTGCCAAGTTTTTCTAATTGTAGATGTTTTATCACTTTTACAGACGATTATTCACGCGAAACTTTTATATTTTTTTTAAAACGCAAGGATGCCAAAACTAATTTGGAAGCATTTATATAATTTAAACAATTCGCTGAAAATCAAACTAATCTTACTATAAAGCGATTTAGGTCTGACAACGGTACTGAGTACATTAATAAACATTTTTCTAACTACCTCAAAAAATTTGGAATCGTTCATGAATCTACAATATCTTATTCACCACAGCAAAATGGTGTGAGTGAGAGGCTCAATAGAACTTTGGTAGAGAAAGCGAGAGCTATGATTCATGATGCTGGTATAAGTAAACGATTTTGGGCTGAAGCTGTCAATACAGCTGCTTACTTAAAAATCGTTCTCCCACCGCTGCTATTTCAGGAGCTACACCACATGAACTTTGGACTGAGTAAAAAGTAGACTTAAGTCATCTTCGTGTTTTCGGTTGTAAGGCATATGCTTTAACTCATGAACAAGCACGTAACAAGTTAGATTCCAAAGCTAAATGTTATATTATGGTAGGATATTGTACTCATTCCGATGGTTATCATCTAGCTGATCCAGAAACTGTAAAAATTAGAAAAGCTAGATCCATTATTTTTCTTGAAAATGAAATGTATGCTAGTGCAATTAATACTGGTGATGTGAATGCTCGTGATCATAATACATAAAATAAGAAGGTTACTTTCGATACACAAAACATTATTGTTCATAATGCTCCAACTGAACAATTACTTGATAATGCTTCAGAAACACATTCTCAAAATATTGATAATGTGGTTAATGATGCTCCAAATCCTATTTTTGTCGATGCGATAGATAATTCAGCGATTAATGACAATTTTGAAAATAACGTACTTTTAAGTTCAGACGTTGATAATGATAATGCTGTCGTTGATCATAATGCTGTTATTGAAGCACCACAACTTGGTAATAATAGACCTGCTCGTGAGCGTCATCCCCCGGCTTGGTTTGATGATTATGTGGTGAATTATTTCACACATCAAGCACTCATAAGTCGCAATGAACCAAGAACTTATCGTGAAGCAATCAACTCTGATCATGCCAATGAATGGCTTATAGCCATGAAAGATGAATACGATTCTCTCATAGCACATAATGTCTGGACCTTAGCAGATAGACCAAAGGACACAAATGTAATTAAATGCAAATGGGTTTTTAAAGAAAAAACGGATGCTGATAGAAATCTCACAAAATATAAAGCGAGACTAGTCGCCAAAGCAACGTTTTGGCGTCGATTATGAGGAGACATTTGCTCCTGTAGTGAGACACAGCACGTTAAGAACGACCTCCGTGGCCGAGTGGTTTGTACGCCGGGTTTCATGGTGTCGCCGACTCGAGAGGTCCCGGGTTCGAATCCCGGTGGGGGCAGATGTTTGTGTGATGAATACGAGCATTTGTACTCCAGTCATGGATGTTTAATATGTATTTCTATATAAATATACTTATATATGTACAGTATATGTATTCTATCCGTTGCCCTAGCATCCCATAACACAAGCCTTACAGTGCTTACTTTGGGGCTAGGCTAATTGGTGTGAGTGTTGGAAATATTTATTAAGAACATTATTTGCTATTGGTGTAGAATTTGACATCGATATGGAGCATATCGATGTTAATACTGCTTTCCCCAATGGAGATCTTAACGAAACCATATATATGGAATAGCCGGAAGGTTTTAAGACTGAGGGGCAGGATAAAGTTTTGCTTTTAAAGAAATCTTTATATGGTCTTAAACAGGCTAGTCGAGCCTGGAATGAGAAAGTTCATTACGTTCTTGTTTCTAATGGATTTACTCAGTTAAAATGTGAAAAATGTGTCTATCAGAAACATTTTGATAAAAATAAAGTCATCATTGCACTATATGTTGACGATTTTTTCGTATTTTCCAATAGTAAAACAGGAAAACAAGAGCTTTATGACCTTTTAATGAAAAATTTCCAGATAAAATTACTTGGACCTGTTAAGCAAGCTTTAGGTATGAAAGTTTTTCGAGATAGAGCCCATGGTACTCTTAAACTTTCACAATCGGCTTATATTCAAAATTTGTTAACAAAATTTGGTTTGGCCGAATGTAAGCCAATTGCTACTCCAATGGAAGTAAAATTTAATTTAAAAAAGGCTTTAGTGTGTGACAATAAATTTCCTTATCAGGAACTGATAGGCAGCCTTATGTATTTAGCTGTCAGTACACGGCCTGACATTGCTTTTGCGTGTAGCAAGTTAAGCCAATATAACACAGGTTTTGATGAAACACATTGGGTTGCTGCAAAACGCGTTTTACGCTATTTGCAAGGCACACAAGACTTTGGCTTGAATTTTAAACGCACAGGTACTCAAAAAGCTTTTATTTTGTGTGACGCTGATTGGGCGGGAGATATTATAGATAGGCGTTCGTACTCCGGCACTTTAACAATGTATGGAAAATCTTTAGTAAATTGGGCCGCGAGGAAACAAAATGTTGTTGTCTTGTCTTCTACCGAAGCCGAGTTTTATAGTTTAGGTTCTGCTGTTAAGGAGGCCAAATTCATAAAGAATATTTTTAACGAGTTGAAGTTTGGTGTCAACTTACAAGAACCAATAACTATTTTTAACGACAATCAGAACACGCACAAAATGGTTCACAATGAATCGTTCAAAAGAACGAAACACATAGACGTACTGTATCATTTTATCTGTGAATCTGTAAATGAAGGTATCATTGATATAGTGTATAAGCCTTCAGCTGAGTTAGCCGCGGATTTACTTACCAAGGCGCTTAGTAAGGAAAAGCATCAATTTCTAACCAAATTATTAAATGTTTTTTGATTGTTTCTTATATTTTGTGAATGTTAGCTGTTAATGTTAATTTCTATGTTTTTAGTTGGCTGTTACTTTTATTAATGCCTACACAAAGGGGCAGTGTTAGTAGGTTGTATATTGTCACTCTGTCGAAATAAACTGAATTGAAAGTTTTCTGAATCTAAAGAATATATTATTATTTATTATTTCAAGATGTAGTCTGCTTTATGAACGAGAGTGAAAGAGACTACTTCAGTGCACTCTATTGGCCGCTATTGCCAAGGCAAGTTACGGAGGGGACTCCTTGTACCATTTTAAAATGCTATAATGGTGGCGTATAACCTGTCCATATTTTTTACGTCATTGATTATAGGTCGCGGCACACATAGATGAATGATTGGTCTCGCTTCACTCGCGAGACCAATCATTCATAATAAACTTACGCAATGGACGTTTTTGCATGAAAATCTGCTATTGCGCAGGCTTCCTTTTCTATGGTCGTTGCTCAAGAACTTTGCCGGGATGTATACTAAGGTATTACACAGATATTAAGCTTCGTTCTTGAGGTAGCTATTGCCATCATCTTTATATCATCATCAGCCTATTAATGTCCCCACTGCTGGGGCACAGGTCTTCCCTAGGGTTGGAATAGGGAGACTGAGCCATGACCCACCACGCGGGCCCAGTAGTGCGGATTGGCGGGTGCTAACGACTGGAGATGCAGCCGGGACCAACGGCTTAACGTGGTTTCCGAAGCACGGAATTACCATCACACGATAGAGTGATGAAGTTCGATTCAAATACGAGTAGTTTAAGAAACTTCGTTGTTTCTTGAATCAAATTACTTATCGATTGGATTTCACAATCTGTACCCTTAGTACGAGTTTAAGCTCACGAAAACTATCATAGTTTTCGAATTGTAAATTATGTTTCTATGTCAATTTTGGTGAAAAGTAATCAAATATACTTAAAATTTAAGAAGACGCAAACGATTTAATGATAGAATTTCAACACTGTCTATTTGTATTGAAACGAAAACAATAAAATCAGTACCCTAAGTACGAGTGCGAGCTCACGAAAACTATCATAGTTTTCGTAATTGTAAAACTTGTAGTAAGGGTACTGTACTTTACCATTTTTCACGATGACAGGGAGAAAAACCGCATTTTTCTGCCACAACATCATGGATCGATTCAGAGGTGCAAAGTGAGTATGTTACTACAGAATAGCACAACTGCCCTCGTTAGATACCAGATACCATACCAAACCACTCATTAATATTTAAAAGTTTCGCTTATTTTTACATTTCAAACCAAAATTGGTCTGTACTTCTCGATTCTTATTAACGAATGTTATGTATTAATTAAACGAATACAGTTAGTCTAACGACCATATTTACAACGAAAATGGGTTTCATCAGTAAAAAATGTTTTAATCGAACATGACTGCAAGATCTATATCTACGATTAGATAGGACTAGAACATAACATAACCACGATAACTGTCGTACCTCACAAATGGATCCCCGTTCTATTTATTTATAAGTGATATGGTAATAATAAAAACAATAATAAATATAAATTTATGGGCGTGGAAACATAAGAAATATGTATAATATTTTATATTCATAAGTTGCATATGCAAACGCTTTTACGAGTAGGCTGCTAAACCGACTTTGATTAATTGTAGTATAGATGTAAAGGGGACATCTGAGAAGTAAATATAGAATTCTTTTTGTCCCAAAAATAATAAGTATAATCATAAATAAAGTAGAGGCGAAATAGGGGAAGAAAGTTTGCATGCAAAATCGATTACTATATGGAGACAATGACATAAAGACAATTGATTGCTTCTTTTTATGCATCAGTAACACTGTGAACAATTAAATGCTCGTATTACGTAAAATGTGAGGGAGCCACACAAAATTGGCTTCAATGCTTTATTTGACCAATAATGAATTGAGGTTTTGTTCGATTTTAGATGAAAGGCGCCGAACAAAATGAAGTCTTACGTACGAATATAGTTAATAGTCATTTGATTATACGGAAATAGCACTGGTTAAGGTTCTTTGAATATCATTAAAATTAAAACCTAATTTAATGCCCTAGAGCAACAATGCATGTTATCGAATTAGACGCAGTTAAAGAAAGTATCTTCTCAAACGGGAGCCGCACGTAAACATAAAATGTTCTTATGTGGCGCTCACTCGAGAGGGCTAAAAAATTGCCTCAGGAAGGAACATAATGTAGTAGCCGGCTGCCATAAAAAGCGAATGCATTGCGTGCACACGTGTAGTGCACCGGGGAGATGAGGGGCGGGTTGGGGTCGGTCGCGAGGGGGGGGGCGGGGGTATGGGGGTGTGTTTACCGCGGAGGGGCGGCCCGGCAGCGGCGGACGGCAGCACGCGGCGCGAGCACCGCCAGCCGCCGGCCGCCAGTGTTGTGGTAGGTCGCAAGGAGACAGCACGCGTCGCGCTTCCGATCATTTACGATCGCGACTCCGCGCCGATATAACATGTCACTATTACTAAATCACTTCACAATTAAAACAATTTAATTAGAGCAACAGCAACTGATAAAAAAATACGATCGAAATATTTTTAGTTTTTGCAAAAGGACTTTAAAAGTGGTGCGAATAAATGTATAATTATCTCGTGAATCCGGTGTGAGATGGCCTTGTCGCTGCAGTCGACGCAGAATTCCAGAGGTTTGTGGATATTTTTTGTTAGAGCGCCTCACTGTCTAAGCCTGGAAGTGCATGTTTGTAAAAAGTTTTGAAAGTTGCCGGCGGGCGGCATGCGTGTTCCGCGAGCCGCGATTGGCCGCCGCGCGACGCACACACATACGTGATGTGTGTTTATTTGCATTCGAGCGGAGCTTTTGCAGATTCAGTGAACCGTAGACGGTACCGCGCGCGTAGCGGCTTGCTACGTCTCCGCTACGGTGATCGAATCTTAAGATGACGCTACGAATTAATCTACTAGATAGAGTGCAGTTGTTTCATTGTGAATTTCTTCTTTGAAAATCCGTATACTAACATTGTAAGTAAATCTAGGTACCTACCTTAAAATGCATGATTTAATGGTGCTATCCATACTAACAACTTTATAATAAATAGATCGTTGTTGTTCAAAGAAAAACTATTGTATGAACAATAACATTACAATGGAAATCATTCAAAAGACTTCTTAAGTAACACGAACTTAAATATTCTGCTTACAATCTTCGAAAATTTAAAAAGTTAATGTTATTTACTTTTTGACTAATTTAAGCCAGTGTAAGATGCACATACATATTTTTAATTATTATTTATTCAGGCAATTAAATATGCTAAACATCATTTGTTATTGTTTTGGGTGCTTTTGCTTCTGTATGTTTACCTAAGTTTATACCATGTGACACATTAATATAAACGTCAATTTAAAATGCATGTGTAACTGAATGTAAGTCGTATTTTTTTCTAAATGTGCTATTTTCACGTGTTTATTAGGTTTTAGTAGATATCAGGGACTCTATTTTGGGTTTTTACATTGATCCCTAAATCATCAGTCTGGTTTCGAACGAAGCTTCACTATAATGAGACTAAATGAATACTTTAACTTCATTTTGTTGGCGACTATTTCAATGAAATCAACAATTAGTAATTTCCAGAATGCGAAATGAGGACATGCTATTGACAGTTAAAATTCTGCTGAATTTTTGAAATTGATGAAGTCTCTCTTTTTACGTTGCAATTTTTCTTGTTTTCATTAACCACGCTACTTATAGCCCACATAAAATAACTTGAATTAAATTATACATATTTAAAATTTGCATTTAATCTATATCTACTTTTAAGCACATTCTTTACTCTTTTCATATAAAAATTAACGTTAATAAATTTGCAACTTAAAAATAACTAACGAAATTAATAAAGAAAAAGATTTTATAAAATGAAATTAGTATTTATATTATTTTATTGACACGTGCGCTATTTTGACTTTATAAAATACCATTTTAGTGGTAGTTCACATGTATGCATCACTAGTAGTCATTAATTTTAATGATATCTTCTAAGCAACGGAGGTCAAAGAAGCTTATCTGTAACTTAAATTCAAGCAAAAAAGACAATGGAGTACTATGCTTTTGTTACTTTTCAATAAGAGATTACGTTCAAATGAGTCAGATGTTTGAAATTAAAGCAAAGAAGCAATCCGTACACTAACTGATAATCCTTTGTTCGACTAAAAGGTTACCGAAATGCAAACTCTAAGCAATAAAAAAACCGGCCAAGTACGAGTCGGAGTCGGGCACGAAGGGTTCCGTCATCATCATCATCATCAGCCTATTAATGTCCCCACTGCTCAAGCACAGACTTTCCCTATAGATGGA